TGGTTACTGGACCAGCAGCGGGGATACCGTGACCAGCTCATTTACAGCAATATCACGCGCAAACACTACTATGGCGCGAAAAAAACTACCTGGTCATTTCCTTTCTTTTTATCACGCCAACGTTTGAGCATCTTGAATCTTTTTAACTAAGTGGTAAATTCAAAACAAACTATTGTGAAGAGTTTTAAAATAATGTAAGAAATATTAAAACCACAAATCGTGACATGGCTGCCATTTACGTGGCACACCGCTGATCAAAAGTTGGAAGGCGAGATATTTTAGGGGGGCGCTGCCCCTGAAAATCTACAACGAGGAGTTTCGCGCTTTGTTCATTCATTTTTATCGTCAAAATTACTTTTTGTTGTGCTATCGTTTCGACCCTTTTTTATCTTATATGATTCTACAACTATTCATTACGCTATCTTGTAAGTTTTATTTATTTCTGAAACATCTGTTATACAAAAATATGGTAGTAATGATGACCAGTTTATGAGATTCTTTCAAGATTTTACAGGCAAACGTACGGGTCTTTGAACATTCGGGATTTTCAGTTTCAGGGTGCCTCAAGTTCCCGGACGTGGATTTCACTGGAGCTCGAAATTCGAAAATTTGTAGATATTGTTTTGATCCACCGGAAGTGAGATACAAAAAGAAATGGAAGTGAGTGAAACGAATAGCCATGATGGACTGAATGACGTTTCTTTGCAGCAAGAAACAGCCTGCACCGTAGAGTCAAAAGCTCTTGAAGAAAATGGTGGCGATCTTGCCTTCCCTTCCACGTTTTCTCCTGAAACTCAAGTTGGCTGTCAGCTGGCTGCATTGGGTAAGAATTTTATGATAATTATTCTTGGCTTAAAAATATATATACCTTGCTCCTTTGGAGCTAACTAAGATTTTTAGTGGATATTTAATGAATTTAACCCGCATTTTATAAGGAGCTATGTTGCTCATGGTCCTTCTGTCGAGGACGAGTTTGTACGCGTTTCGCGCGAAAATATTATGCTCAAGCTTAGATTGTCCGCGAGTTAATGCTGTTTTTACTCTCATGTACAGCATTTCGGTACATAAGCTAGCCTAGATTCATTATGGCCGGACTAAGTGAATACTGAACATGAAACAGATGTTCATTGAAGAGTCTTTCTTTAGTCGTGTGTGTTCGCGTGTGAAGCGAGGCTGAGCGGGTAGTGGTCAGTCAGGATCAGATGTCCAAGGTCCCAAGAGATGGGTACTTGAACATGTAGCAATTTGCGATGCTGCGGGAGTGATAAAGTGTGAGATAGAGGATGCTTTCCCTTTACTAAGAAATTTCAGTCAGGATGTAAATCCAAGGCATTCCACTAGAAATTCCCAGGAGTAAGAGGAACTTTGGGCATTTGCCATTAATACAAAAACCTTTTGGGAACTTTGATGGCGAGGTCTGTTGTGGTGAAGAAACGTTTTCATTTGACGCAAGATCCATTTGCTCCCCTGTCTCACCAAAATTCAAGATGGGGAGACAGATATAGCTGTGAATTGCCTGTATCCATATTTTTCACCAGAGAAGTTTCCAACTGGAATACAGGACTACCTTTTCAAAGTTCAACTTTAAATTCCCAGAAATATTGTGTAGGAATTTCCATGCACAAAATTGTGCGTAATAATCCATAAATGGAAAGCATCCTTTGAAAGGATATTCTTGTTTTCCTGTTGTAAAATTTTTCAGTGGAGATTTTGGGTTTAGATTTTTGAGTTTTCATATCAAAGGTTCGTCAGTTCTATGCTATTCATGCCAATTTAATTTCCTTGTCTGAGATTTGTGTTGGTAAACCAAAGTTTTTAGGAACAATTTGTGTACATAGTTTTCACATTAAATCTGTTCACTTATTTGTTAAAACATTAGCTGGAGTGAAGAGAAAGCATGCTTATCAAACAGATGACCAAGACAACAAACATATTCATCTTGATCAAGAGGCAGCGGCTTCAGATGGGTTTGCTGACTTGACAACTCTAGTCAACATGTCTTCTGCAGTGTCGCTTGCTGTTTCTCAGGTGAGAAATGTACCAGCCCTTCCAGTGTAATGTCAATGCCATTATAGATATTATTAACTTGAAATAAATAAAAATATACTAAATTCCTTGTTCTTTGTTGTGCCTACTTTAACTACATTAGGAGGTGAATTCACAGTCATTTAGTAACACAGCCATTGACAGTAGTGGCCAAATTGCAGCACTCTCTCAAGAACCAACCAATGGCAGTTTAAGTTTATCAGAAGCAGTGGCAGCTCTCGCAACAGGACACCTGCAGTCTCAGGAGACCGCAATCATTCCAGCATCCCAGCCTGTTGTTATGAGTGACAATAATAACTCTGTTAATCAGGCATGGTTCACCACTAAAGAAGACAAAGACAACCTCCATGGAAAAGGTAATCTTAGTCCAAGTAAAAAAAACAAAATTTAATGTACATGTAGGTTGCTATGCGCCACCAGCCGGTGGGTATTTTTTTCTGTCATTTCTGATTTTTTATTATTGCCAATTGATTGCTTTCTTTACAAAAAAATATTTATTACACTGCCCAGCTCAGGGATACATGTAAGTTGAAGTTCTTCAGTCAAATATTAATAAAATAATGAAACATCAGGTATTGATTATATTAATAATTTTGTAAACACAAATTTGGTTCATTTGGATACATATTTTAAACAAAATGATGCTTCATACTATATATCTCAATAGGTAGGGTGCATTGAAAATTAATGTCAAGAAAGGACTTAGATAAACAAGAGAAATGGCCCTAAAAAATGAAACGGGCAGGGAAAAGAATCATTTGTTTCTTTTACTTGGCCTTAGTACTAGACATGACAAGAGCATAGTGTAGTTGCCTACTAAAACCTAAAGAACTCTTTTATTTTGCATGGCTTTTGTTGATAGAAAGGAAATTATAAACCTTTCAAAAGAAACAAAATCATTTTTAAATAATCATTAGGCTTTGAGTTAGCCGTAATGATATTTTTCTGTTTGGGATATACCTTTTGTCTGCAAAGTATGCGAATTTCTGTATATCAAAACTTTTGTTTGGTGCGTTTTTTGAAGGAGTCAAGTGGAGGCAAGGAATGTGGTCAAAAGAAGAAAATGACCAATTAAAAGAAAATATACTTGAATATTGTCAGGTACGTTAAAATTATCTAAGATTGGTTTGTCTAAAATTAATCAAAACTTTAGATTTTTGGTTTTTTTTATGGTAAATGACAATATTGCTCAAGGTTTTTAAAATCAGGTTTCTCCATGATATACATGAAGCATGCTCAAGATTGTTGATTGTAGTCTTCTGTTTAACATGTTAATGTCGCCGCTCCTGTGTTAACGTAAATTGATTATGCAGTTCCTGTAATATATTAAGGTAAAATGCAAAGAAAGACAGCACTCTGTGTTCAATGTATGAGGCATTGAACTCATTCTTTTTTTTGTCTATCTTTATTTTTAGATCAACAGCATTCCAGATCCTAATATCATCATATTTGAGATGACAAAAGATGATCGAAAAGACTTTTATCGAACAATAGGTTTCTAACTTTTTATAAAATTTACATATTTTTTTATTATGCCCTTTTGTGTATTTGAATAGTACACTGTATAATAATTATTTATATTATAATGCTGGAATTAAGGAGAGATTAGTTGTTCATCACTTTTTGGTGCTATATTGCCATTATTTTTTTATGTGATAAGTGTCATGATAATTTCTGAATTTATTCCGCTTTTCAGCCAAAGGTATAAGGCGTCCTCTCTTTGCCATCTATCGTCGTGTGCTTCGCATGTATGATAGAAAGAACTACGTGGGAAAATATTCGTCGGAAGAAGTGCAGCAGCTTAAAGCATTAAAAGAGAAACATGGAAATGATTGGGCTACCATTGGTGCTGCGATGGGTCGGAGTGCCTCATCTGTGAAGGACAGATTCCGACTGATGAGAGACCATTGCCGTTCTGGTTTGTCTTAAGCTTTCTCAGTCATCATAAAACCAACTTATCAAAATTCACCTTTTTACTACTTGTACTGATAGATTTTCAGTTCGCTATGCCTTTGGTGTTAATGCTGAGTGAGAAATTAAGTGATTTTAATTTTTCTTCTTAAGGCAAATGGACAGCTGAGGAAGAACAAAAACTGTCCAGTGCTGTTCATGATTTAAGCAGTACAAGATCAGGTGACCTGATCACAACAGGGATATCCTGGGCAGCTGTGGCTGAACAAGTTGGAAGTAGATCAGAAAAACAGTGTCGATCAAAATGGTAATGTTCCTCGATCTCCTTTTCTAAAGAATACATGAATTTGTGGAGGAAAGCAAAGAATTGTTTCTAATAAACGTAGGCATGAATTTTTATTATAATATTGCTGTAGATCTACTTCAAGGAAATGTCCACCATTATCCTGAAAATCAAAGATACAGTTGAAGCTGTAAAACCAGTTGCTTAATTTTACAATATCTGTTGTCATCATCATTTCTGTTGTTAGTTAAGTTAACTCCCATTATATTCATTATCTGAATTCCTCTTATTTGCAAAAACTTAAAATTTTGTGTCATCCTGTAGGAAGCTCAAAAATGTAAATCACTTGATATATCTCCATACAGGTATGAAAGCAAATTAATCATAATTTTTCCTCAGGTTAAACTACTTAAACTGGAAAGAGAAAGGTGGACAAGAATGGACCAAGCAGGATGAGATTAATCTTATCACAAGGTGAAGATTTGATGCAGCTGTCTCTCTCTTGCCTTGTATTAACAATTTTGCCACAAAATTACTGGAACTTCCTTTCTAACACAAGGTTTGTTTAGGGTGACACTCCTACAACAAGCCCCCTGTTGTCTTTAACAGATTTTCTGTATTGGCTTAACTGAACTTAGTTATTGTATCTTCGTTCATGAGTATTAGACTTGGTTACACATCTGATGGTTACTTTTATGTAATATTCCAGCTGTTATGAGTAGAACTGTGTAATAAGTTTTGTAGATTTTTATGGTTAAAAAAGTCAGATCTTTTGCTGATCTATTAATAGTTTAAGTCAGCCTTGTTTTCTTTAACATTCTTACTCAAGGATTCATGACTTGAATCTCCAAGATGAAAATGACATAGACTGGAAGGCCATGGCAAGTGATTGGCCCAGGTAAGTGAAATGTTAGGGTATCAGTACACATGAGTGCCCCAAGGGTTTCAAGTGAAATAGCTAGTAGCCTGATGTTATGAGGCCCTGCCAGGGTAAATTCCGACAAGCCACATGGCCCAAAAAGTAGCGACAGTGGGTAAAACGAAATCACGACAAGAGACAACCTCCCTTGGCCAAATTGCCACAGTGACAGCAAAGCTGACAATAAGCGACAAGCATTTATAAACACCGACATGAGACGTTTTAAAATTCAGATGGGCGACATGGGACCCCCCTGGCTCCCCCCCTGGCTCTGTTATGGCAACTGTTATCATATATGGCTTGACTGGCCAAAGAATAAACAATAAAGCTTATGAGTTCAGAGGTACACACCCAACTTAAACTGGGCTAAGCAAGCAGTACTGATGGCGCATAGAAACCTACATGTATTTTTTAATTTGGGCAACAAAGAAATCTTAGGTCTTGCACAAAACTTTAATACAGGGAACCCAGTATTGAAAGGGTCAGACCTTTTGGGTAGCCCATATTGATAATCTCTCTTAGAGCACAGCCCTGCCCAAGAGGGAGGGAATTCAGATACTGCTCAGAAAAACTATCCAGCCCCAAAGGCATCCAATAAAATGTTTCGTTTTCCTTTATTTTAGTGTGCGCTCTCCACAATGGCTCAGAAGCAAGTGGTGGGCTTTGAAAAAACATGTTCCTGAAATAGAGGCAACATCTTTTGAAGCCATCTATTCTTATTTGTACGAGACCTATACTGCAACACTGCAGAACAAAATAGATAGACAGGAGGCAAGGTTTAAAGGCAACCATCTTCCTGGTGTGTCAGCTGTTATACCAGCTGGAAGACCAGTTCATATAAATCCAATGTCAACAGGAGCTGTCACAAACTCAGGAATTTGTCACACAATAACAGGTACATTAATGCACTTGTGATGATGAATATTTTCGCCAGATGCAATCATTCCCTTTATCCTGATTGCAGGTTAAGAATTCTGTGTTCTCTCCTCTCAGCTTGGGATCATTCTAATTACTAATGACCAGGAGCATTATCTTTTATACATAAATCCTGCTGTCTGTGTTTCACCATTACACAAGCAATAAACAAATCACTAAAATAATAATTGATAAAGTAATAATCAGTAATGTTGAATATTTAATACTAAAATGATCTTGTCATTGTTATTTTAGTTATCAGGAAATAACATTGAAAAAATATTATAACAAGACTACTTTTGTTTCATGTAACCAAAATCATATAATTTTGTTTCATCATTAAATTTGAAAATGGACCATTTATTTTGTATTGCAGTCAGTAGTGATGGTTCAGTTACAAGAGATGAGACATCTCCCCTCCCCACTGGTCACAGTAGATTTGAAGTAGTACAAGTCAATGCAATACCGACACAAGATATATTCAATAGCCAGTCCAGTGTGCAGGGGGCTCCATCATACATTATCCAAGCTCCTGCAGGACAGACATACATCATACAGCAACCTACAGGAAGTCTGGTAAGGCAGACACACAGTGCAGAGCTGGCTACAACATCAGAGGGAATCAGTGGTCAGCATCAGCAGGTAAGGATTGGTGCTTTTTATCAAAGTAAGTTGATTAAGATTACCTGGTGGTTGAAGTCCTGAATAAGACTGTTGTTCACAGTGAGTGATGGTTGACAACCTGTTTGGTAGTAATCTTCAGAGTTCCTTACTTCTACCCTTGAAATGACTACCACACAGGTCAACAAAAATCACCAGTCACTGTCAACAACAGTCCTATTCAGGATTACACCCACCTAGATGATTATATTCTACTTACTTATAATTATGACATGACTCCTTGATTCAAACTATTTACTAGCTGTGCTATATCACTGTTGGTTTGTTTGCCAGCATTTTTTTCTTTTTCATTCCAGTCAATTCATTTTGGGCTATATATACATGTTTGTTTTATGATCAAAGGAAATGAATTTATTTTATGAGTATCTTGGATTACTCACTGTGAATGAAACCCTCCAGTGTTATCACATCCAGAAGCTTAAATCAGGTTGTCAGTTAATATAGACACCATAGTGTCTGTATTATCTGGGTGTCCATATTAAGTGGGCTCTCAGAAAAATGTCGTGGACACATATTTTTTTCGATAATAATATGAAGACTAAAGTAGGCATTTTTACAAGAGAACCTGGCTTAATTTTTTAACTGTAACTTGACAAGTTCATGATGTTTTAGTATTGTTCTTGAAACACAACAGTGCAATCTGCGCAGGTGGACTGAATATTAGACAGAAAGCTCTGAGAAGTCATTTGCTGTTTCTGTTAGGTTTTCACCAGGTGTCTGTAGAGCTTGGTTGCACTGTATTGTAGTGTTTCAGTGGTTTTGTAGACACTTAATAAGTTCATGACACTCTCTCTTGACCCTGTTCTTCCAGGAGGTAGTCATGACAACAGCAGTACTTCAGACACATCACGCTGTACAAACTCTCCCTGAGGTTTCACCTGAATTCACACAAGCTATAGTACAGACAGACATTTCTGGTCCCATTACTGCATCAGATCTGACGCACACAGTCATTGATAAGACACAAACTGGTTTACCGCAAAATGAAATAGAACAGGAAGATGAAGCAAGCAGTGTGGAGCAGACAGGTGTGGCAAACAGTACATTAGACTGCAGCCATGGAGGTCTGACTACTGAGCTTCAAGTGGAGAGAGTGGGTGACAAGGAGGTGCAGGCTGTAAAACAGACAGGTGCAGTTATAGTTATTGTTAATTATTATTATTTTTATCATTATCTATTATTAATTCTTATTGGGTGGCACTGGTTACCAATATGTATGGAAGGGTTACTAATGAAGAAGTCAAAACCTCCTCTGTACTGAAAAAAAAAGCTGTTACTGCTTTGAACACAAAATTATTCAATTCTTGATAGATTGAACTTTCTATCTGCAAAACTGGGTGCTGATGTAATAAGCAAGTCTGGTTTCATTCCTTTTTGGTCGGTCAAAACTTGGTAAGGTAAAGCAGATCCAGTAGTGATATACCTCTGTTGTGTTTTCTTAACATTCTGCGCAGGTTTATTACCAGCGGCGGATATGGGGATCTGGGGTGTGCTTTGAAACTTGAACTAGTCTGTACTGTAACTTTAGAAGATAGAATATGAGGATCTGCAGTCGAAATATTGTATACCTCAGCCTTTTTCACGTTTTTTGATCAGTCTTTCCAGAAGCGTTTTTGACTATAATTCTACTTTTATCACATTAGAAAAAAAAGGGGAAAATCGATAAACAATAGTAGCTGTGAAACTCCGTGCAAGTCCGCGGCTCCAACTACCCCCTGCGGACAATACATATATCCATGACTAGTATATTTTAGTGTGAGTATTGTCAATGTTTTACATTCAAAAGATGCGATAAATTCAAACTAAAATCTACAAATCTACTAATCATGGAGGTACGTATAGTGCGCATTATTTTGGAAAAATTAGCATAACGTCAAAACAGTGGATGTTGTAACGCAGATTTTTGACCGGTTCGTAGGATAGGTTTGTCTTGAAATTTCAAGGTGTTGCAGGGAATCAATCTTAATGAAAGTTTCAGACATTTTTATACACATTATAAAGATTATGTGAAGGGATTTTAAAAAAATTCGTTCGAGTCGTTTCGGAGATATACAAGAAAGCGCGAAAAGTCCAAATTCTGAATGAAGTTGCACTTATACAGGTGGTGAGAAAACGGGTTAGTTTTCAAGATCGCAAGAACGAAAGTACACCAAAATTTCCTAGCATCAAAATATGATATTAAGCATCATTCTCACGCTACTTAATAATAATTTGAGTCCTTTATAACGTGTTTATTAAATAATCTATCACGGCTATTGAAAATTTAAGGTTTGAAATATATTTTCGTTTTAGTCGAATTCAAACATACAGAATTTTTTACTTCTTACGGAGATTGTTTGCTAAACACCAAACTTCAAGTTCCTAGTGTTGGATTTTCAGTAGCAGGTCTAGATCACACAAAATTCGGCTTTTATCAGTTTCAAAGTTTTTCGTTTATTGTTGTCATAGTAATATCGATTTTACTTAAAACTACATTTTCACAAATTTCAATGCATAGCCAATTACTGGTGAAAATTTTATAGCGATTGGACAAGGAAAAAAACACTTTTTAGGCGATTGAAAAATGTCGGTATGGCCTCTGAAAAACTGTATCGAAACACCTTAATTGCGTTGAAAACAACTTAATAGTCGTGACAAAGTCATAAATTATTAGATGCCTTAAGCATTTCCTAGTTTAAAGTAATGCTAAAGCTTTTCAATTATGCTTTTTTTTTCTTTCTAGGTCCTGCAGCGATCGCTCAAACCTTAGATGGAAAGCATCTCACAGAGACACCAGCTGTACACATGCATCAAGTCAGTTCACAAAACAGAGAAGTTGTTGTAAGCCCTGATCCGTTAGAAGACGTTCACGTGACTGTAATCTCCAACATGGAAACGAGTCTGGCAGCTACGTTATCGCCGTCCTCTGGAATAAGTATTTCACAGCAGCACGGAATATCTGCGGCCAATAATCCCAATGATTTGTCTGTAAGTGCGATGGTTCCACAAGTAACATTACCGGATGAGATTTTACAATCGCAGTCAGATGAGCGTGGGGATCTGTCTCCCACTGAAACAACAAGTGTGATGATGGTGTCGGAAAATCCAATGACTGTGACATCCACTCTTCCTTCGCAAATCCTTCAGCCACAAACTGAAGATAACACGAACTCGTCCCACCCCTCCTGTTCGGCAGGTAGCACTGTCTCTAGTAATTTAAATGCCAGTGTGGCTCTTGCTAATATCGTTGCTGACACAGGTGGGCTAGAGCATTCTGACAATTGGTTGGACTCTTGTCAATGACGATCGATTGCCTTTTACCACCCCTCACCTATCACCCTTCTTATGTGACAAGCGTGGGGCTCAAATGGAAGAGTACATAATTACAGCGTAGCTCCCCTCGCCTGTTACATTACTTGTCAATAACGGTTCAGGAGAACTTCAAAATGTTGGAGAAGCCCATATGGGCACATAGTACGAAGAGGCGGACGGCTATCTTTGGTCGAGATGCTGGGTAATCATTGAACGAAAGGAGACACTATCTTGAAAATTTAGTACCTAACTTTACGAGATTGGTATTTTGTCTTCGTCAAAATAGTCCTAAAACGAATTAGAGAGACTCGAGGAGAAGGCTGAAAGTCAGGATATTTGTCATATGAAAATCATGGAAATCAGTATTTTGCTAGCTTTCGAACTCATTTTTGTTGATGGCGAACTGGGGTTGGAGAGTAACTTTTGTTCCTTGGTCGCACGGGAACACTTCATTGGCAGGTTACACACAATTACTTGACCAACTGGTGGTCTGAAAAATATGACATTAAAGAATTGCGAGATAGCGTTGCAAAAGATCAAATAAAGTGCCTTATTGGTGGCGACATATTTTAGTTTTTGCATTGCGAACTGAAAGGACAAATTCTGCATCGTGTACGCAGATATATAAAAGTACGAAACGTTCCTGGTTAATCGTCACACTTTAGAGAGGATATAACATGACCTTGACTTTTAAAAACAAAACTGCTGAACGTGTTGCAAACTAAAATAAGTTTGCTGTTTTCACCAGTGTCACCCATTTAATAGCTGTGAAGCTAAATCCCTGGACACTTAAATAAAGTTATCGTCATTATAAACATCCTCCTCGTCGTCTCGTTGTCGTTATCATCATCATTAGTACTATTTTTTGTTATTTTTATCATTTTTAGATCTTAATCAAACAGAGATAACCTTGACAAATGACTAAAGTAAAGTCACTTGTAAACAGCAAGCGACAGCCTGAAATATAAATCAAACCATGATGCAAATTTTACCCAGGCTTTTTGAAGAAAACGAGAAATGAAGGTAACTATACCTTTTTGACTTTTTAAAGAAAACTTTACCATAAGTCCATTACGTGTAATTTAAAGCATTTTTTATGCCTATTGAAGGACTTAACATAAACATTTCGCCCGAGTGCGGGCTACGCCTTCTGTCAGCAGCACCCACATTGTTCGACCAGCTAAGGTATTTCGATACAGTTTTTGGGAGGCCATTCCGATGTTTTTCAATCACCTTAACAGCGATTTTATCCTTGTTCGATCGCTACAAAATGTTCACCAGTGATTGACTATGAATTGAAGTTTGTCGAAATGTTGTTTTTAGTAGAAATCGATATCACTATGACAACAATAAACAAAAAAACTTTGAAATCGATAAAATCCGAAATTTGCGTGATCTGGACCTGCTACTGAAAATCCGACACCAGGAACTTTAAGTGTGGTGTTAAGCAAATAACCTTCGTGAGAACTAAAAAATTATGTGTGTTTGAATTTGAAAACACGAAAATGTATTCCAGACCTTATATTTTCAATAGCCGTAATAAAGTGTTTAATACAATAGTTCTGAATAACTCACATTAATCTTAAGTAGCGTCAGAAGGCTGCTTAATATCATTTTTCGAAGCTAGGAAATTTTGGTGTATTTTCTTTCTTGCGATCCTGAAAACTAACCTGTTTCCTCACCACCTGTCTAAGTGCAACTTTATTCTAAATTTTGACTTTTAGCGCTTTTCTGTATTATCTCTAAAACAACTCGACAGTATTCTTTTTTAACTCTCATGATGGCATTTTCATGATGTTTATAACAATGTCTAAAACGTTCTTTAAGACTGATTCATCGTAACACCTTTAAATTTTAACAGAAACCTAACCTACGAACCGGCGAAAAAACCGCGTTACAACATTCTCTGTTTCGACGTTATGCTAATTTTTCCAAATCGATGCCCATCACACATACAAACCTCCATGGCTAGTACATTTTAGTATGAATTTTATTGCATATTTTGATTGATTGAAAACATAGACAATATTCACATATTATACCTAACACAGCAAGCGCTATATCTACAGAACTTGTTACATTCTAAAATGGTTGTTTATCACATACTGAGTGAATTGTTTCGTCCCCAATGCCAAAAAAGCTGCTACTTTTAGTGCGTAGAATAATTATTTCTTCCGAGCGAAGCGAGGCGCCGCAGACTCATGAGGTTTATAATCTCTTAGCGCGCGAAGCACGTGTACCGCGCTTGTATACAGCTATTTCGAGGAAGATTGTCGGAAAAAATGTGCACGCGACAATCCCGAAAGGTAATATGGGATTTGATCAAGACGCTTTTCCTGACACTTGAGCTGTCGAACCTACTTTTGTTGCTTTCCTTTAGCACTCGCAAACATACGTCCATGGTCTCTCCTGTCATTCTTTCAAATTTCTTTGAAAAACAGTGAACTCAAAACCACCCACAATACCTTTCGGGGTTTTCGCGTGCACTTTATGCGACAACCTTTATCAAAGTAGCTGTATATCGCGATGGTGTCCACAATGGGAATAAATCCTTTATTGACCAAGCTTGTTCGATCAAGGTGGCTTTAATTGGCCTTGTTCTTTTTTGCGTTTTTATCGACCTCTCTTCATCAATAAAAACGCAAAAAAGAACTTGGCCAATATCCAGTCATCTTGGCCTCACGCTTGGTCAGTAACGCATATTCACCGATTTCAATAAAGGTTGCTTTGGGAATCTTGCTTTGGTCTTTGAAAGCCATTGTTTGGTGGTCACTCAAGCAAAGCATTGCATTGTATTGTATTCTGTTTTTCAATAACCAAATCCCAAAACAACTTTTATTGAAATAGGTGCATACAGAAGCTATGTTCGTGTTCTTACAAGATATTGTCAAAATTGTTTTGCATTATTACCTTAAATATGACTCTCTGCCTTCAGTCTAGTAAAGAACATCTGCATGAAACTAGTTTTATGGTTTCATTTCTTACCCGTAAATGGTCTAAAAGGCGCGCCTCCTATCTATAACAAACGCCCACTGTCTAATAGAAGCCCCGCATAAAAATTGTTCCACATTTTTATAAATGCAAATCTATTTTTTAAATTAGTTTCATCATCCGGAACTAAAAACTGTATACATGTATTCCTTATTAGTAGCGGTTTAATAAACAACTGCGTAAGTATTAATCTTGATCTTCATCCCTGCATATATTTGTGTAACCTGTTTTGGGTTTTTAAAAAGAGTGAATATTTTACAGAACAACAACCTTGCACTCGCCTACACTCCCAGCAAGTACGGCTATGTTTCCATCTTTGGTCAACGCAATCTTTGGAGGAACACATTCTCTCTGCTCTTTTTTGGTCATCTGTTCTCCACCCTGGTAAATGTTGTGCACGCAGGTGCGACGTTTATCGTAGATTGATATATTCACAAAAAATCCCGGTCCTAGGCTGGAGATGACAACATGTTCACTCTCCGAATGAAACGCTAAAGCGTTGGCAGGAGAGTCGCCCTTGTGATAGAAATCACGTTCTGGAAGGTGTTTTCCGTCTTTATCGAATGTTACTACATGTCCATCTCTATTTAATACCATTAAAAGACCTCCACTAGCAACGGTCATGTCCATTGGTTCCATTAGAATATCTTGTCCAAAGCCCTTGTGGTTTATAGACTTTCCATCACTCCTGTACGCATAAACTGTGGAATGTTTTGAATCATTCTTTTGGTTTTCTATCACGACAAAAAGCTCATTGCTGTCGTTTATGACTGGTGAGCAGCTAACAAGACCTTCCTCTAGTGGAAATCTCTTCAGCAGTTTCCCGTCTTTGTCGAACAAGTCTACTTTATGGTGATACTTGTCTATCTTAGTCAGTACGAATATATTGTCTTCACGGTCAGTAACCACGCTACATATTTCTTCATCGACCTGATGGCGGGGAAGAGGAGAAAAAGACTTCACGAACTTCCCGCTATTATTGAACACTTTAATGCAGCGATCGCCGTTGTCCGCCACAATAAAATGTCCATGGTGGTCTGTAGTAACATCTTGTGGGGAAATAAGCTTTGTGTCAGGCTCCTCGGCTCCAAATGACCATGCTACAGTCACTTCAGTAACGTTTGACAGAACGTCTTTTTTCCTGCTCTTACTACAAAGCACTTTAGTCACTCTAACATCTCTTAGTGGATCCAGTCGGTAAATAATTTTGTCGTCTTTGCGGATGATGATAGGAGGCCAACTCCAAAAACCCTCCTTTTCCGAAACCCGATGGATAACTTCGAAGAGCAGACGATTTAAGTAGCAGACATCCCGCACAATTTCTTTATCGACAGATCCTTTACCTGTTACCAGTGAACAAAAGGAATCCTGGATTTGTTGCAAGGAATATAACTCGTTGAGATATGATTTGCATGAAGGTAATGCAATGACGGGGTCATCCATATGCTTCAGTATTTTTGCCATGATGCAAATGGACATGGCGTGAACACGCTGAGTCGCTTTTAGTGAAGGATTGCTGAAAGCTTTGCTTGCTTCTGTCGAGGCTTTGCCGAAAGCCTCTTTTGCCTCGTCAACTAATTTGCGATCTTTTTCATCCAAGTCGGTTACTTTGAGCGATTTCAAATTGCCAGTCATGGAGTCCACAATATCCACTACTGTGTTCACGGCGTAGAACGTCGACTTCCCAGAGACTGTCATTGTTGCAGCGGGAGTTTCGTCCTCTCCAATCTTTCCAATTTTGTTTAAAACTTCGTTAACGATAGTTAGGCCTTCCTTGTAGGAGACTCTACTTGCACCCAGTTCCTTTCGTGAAATTTGGTCAAGTTTCAACTCCAACTGGTCTGTTTCAGTCAAAAAAAGCTGAAGAAAGCTTCCGTCTACAATAGATTCGCCTTCTTTGAGCTTTTTTAACCACTCTTTTCGCTGCATTCTCCAGACTACATCAGCTCCAAATTTAAGAGCCAAAACTGCACAAGATATCAGATCCATACTGCAGTGAAAGTTTTCTTCGCGGCTTAAACAACGATAGACCTGCAAAATGCACCTGAAGTATCTACAATCCAGAAGGCTGTAAAAACCTTGAATATCTCAGGAATATTTATTGTGTTGTGACCAACCACAACACGAGCAAGCCACAAAACCACAAATTGTACTATTACTCCAGCCCTGAAAAACAAACAATTCCAAGGTCCGTCCCTAGTGACTTTGACTCGACTCGACAACCAATAAAATTATTCGGATTTGGCCGTATTTGCTACTGTTTGGAACTGAGTTATTGTCTTTTTTTCTGAGACATCTTTTCTTTTCCGACACTGGCTCCATGGTAACTTCATTTTTTAAAAATAGTTAACATTCTTTACAACGCCTTTTGTTCGTGGGTTATTCACCCTTTTCACGCTCATCAAGATTTGTTTTTAATTATTAATTTATGAACGCAAGACTACTGAGCTAACACTATGGATTCTGTAGCTTTAATCGATAGTTCAGTTAAACTGTTCGTGAATAGAGACCCAATGGAAAAAAAGCAAATGAGAGAAACTGATCTCCACCGCGATCTGCTCGACGTTAAAGCAAAGTTGGAGGCACTTGCGAATTCTACGTTATTATCAAGTTCTACATTTTACAGAGAAGGAATCCGTCGCCTTCTTAAACTCAAGAAAAATTCTAATGAAGGCGACAGGGAAAGTGCTGACAGACAAACAGAAGTCCGCTCGACAACCATGTATCAGGTCTGCAAAGACTTGAGACTACATTGTTTAGACGATTCAGACAAAAGAGCACTGGCGGCTGCAAAGGATGATTTCAAACAAGCCCGTATCAAGGCTGTAGAAGCTTTCAGCAATGAAGGCCTTGAAATATTGGATCGCATCCAAGCAATGGTTATTCGTGTCGCGTCGACCATGCTAGAGAACGTTGACCATCCCGAGGATGCGTTGAATGTGTGTATTGGCTGTCTTGAAGACCTTCACGGTCTCAAGTATGTGAGGGAAACTTTTAATCAAGTTGTTTATAAAGGCCTTAACAAAGTTTCTTTTAAAAGGGGGGTTCAAAGGCAAGTAATTGCTTCCGTCTGTCGAATAAATCATTTTATTCGCAATGCTGCACTGGCGATCGCCAAGGAAGGGGAATTGTTGGTTTTTCCCTTGATTGAAGTGGAAAACGAAAAAATAGATCCATTGTCCGACTCCCGAGTGGCTAAGGAAGTGCCGCACGTTTCCCTAACGCCATCGACCCTTAATGAAGAAGATAAAAAGAATAAACCGAGCATACCACAAGGCATTGCTGTTAATTCTCAGGGACACTGTATGGTTGGAGACGAATGGGATCTAACCGTTAAAGAATATGATGCGAATGGCTTGTTTGTTCGTAAACTTTCCTTAACGCACTGGCAAAAAGATTCGGTTGCAAGCATTGTGGATGTTGCTACTGATACCAAAGATAATGTGTATGTATTGTTTGAACTGGGAGAAAACTCAACAACTGCGCACTTCAAGATTTTTGTGTTTGATAAAGGAAGCTCACACACGAGACGCGACATATTATTGAAAGAAAAAACAGCCGAAGTTTCTAGAATGTCAATAAACAATAACAATGAAATCTTCATATTGGCAAAGAGTTCTTCAGGGATTGCCGTTGATGTCTATGATTCGTCGGATGGCCATTTTAAGACTAGTTTCGGGGAAAAAATATTAAACTCAGGAGCTGAAGACATTTGTGCAACCAACGACGGAAGAGTGATTGTTTTAGATAAAGATGATAAATGGGCTTTATCAGCTCATATGTTTCGTTCAGACGGACATTACATTGACGATCTCTTAAAGTCAGCAGAGAAAAAGAGAAAGCGCGTGTCCATCGTCACTAAACACGAGTTAAGGTCCTCCATAGCCTGTCATCAAGTGAGCAATAATTTAGTAATAGCTCTTCCAAGTCAACCTTGTGACAAAGGAAAAGAGTGGAATCCCGTGCGAATCCTGCGATACGACATGAGCGATGGAGGGCTGCTCCCCAGCATCTTCCTACATGATGTAAAAGGTTTTGTTTCTATTCGAGGCGTTGCAGTTACTCTTCAAGGACGCATCGCCGTAGGTTTACTTGACAAAGACGGAGGTGATAGTAAGATATTCGTCGTATAAATGTTTGAACTTACTATGATTTTGCAGGAGTAGCCTGTTCCATGCTTCAGATAGTAAGGATGACGCGTAACGCGTAATAGTCAAAAAGGGCGAAAATATGAGCGCGTGATCCTTTCTCTCCCCAGTTTCCTCCCGTTTTGTTTTCATGTTCGCCTTTCTCAATTTCGCGAACCCGACTATCTCGGCGCCTGAAACAGGCTAACACAGAGCGTACTCAGGTGTAATGTCTCGTTAGAAACGCTAATGTCCAGAAACTACAGCTTGAAATATACAACTGACTATAAGTTGTAGTTATTTCTATCTGACAAGTGATTCATGAACACTATAAATCTGCGCAATGATTAAAACATAAGACAATATAGAAATGTTGCAGAATGTTGTTAAATCCCGACAAAACTAGGAGTTTCAATTTGAAAGTAAGTGCTGGCGTCAGAGCTGGAGGACAATGCGGAGAATACAGTTTGAAAATAAATAATGAAGAAAATGACAATTAACCCCGGGAATTAGGGTTGGTGAGCCTTTTTAAAAGAAAAATATGTTGTTTCTCAGTATTTGTGATGTATAAAATGGGCAAGCCCTTCGAGAAAATTTATAGCATGCATAACACGCGCTTTATGAGCCAAGCGAGAAGCTCTCCTCCCCTCGTCTCCCGCTTTGTGCGAAATGCCGCTTTCGTCTCGCTTGACTCATGAGGCGCATGTTATGCAGGCTAGTAAATTTCCAGAGTGCAAGCAGATGATAAACGAGGCCTGAGTTTTTAGTAATTGCTTGTTTACATTTTTTAGATCTCTTTATTTACCTGTGGAAATAATTTCTTCGAGGTCACAAACGGTTAAGTGATGACAAGATATTGATGAATACTTTCACAAGCAAATAAAGACATCTAGAAAATTAAAAAGCAATTACTAAACACTCACCTCGTTTATAACCTGCTTGCAGTCTGGAAATTTACTCCAAGACCACTGTAAACAGCGTGTAGTAGTGAAAGGAGAGGCTTCTGATTGGCTAACCTCTGGTGTCCTACAAGGTTCTTTATTGAGACCATTATTCTTCATAGTATACATCCATGATTTACTGGGGGTAATTAGTAAGGACAGTTCAGTCAATTGCTTTGTATGCTGATGACAATAAAATGTACAGGGTTATTAATACTCAAGAAGATCTGCCTACTATTAAGAAGTGACAGAGATAAAATATCAGAATGGTGTAGATGAATAAGATGACAATTAATATTAAGAAATGTAAGATCATGCGAATGGACCGAATAACCAGGAAAAAGAAACCTTTAGCTAAATGGGGAATATAATATAGAAGGTCAACCTTTAATTGGAAATTGTTGATATGCATAACGATTTAGGATTGTTTACTGCTAGTGATCTCTTATGGAACCAACATGTAGTTAGAATAACTGCTAAGGCTAATAGGGTTTTAGGGTTGGTTAACATGACTTGTAGGGGCTTAAAGGACATTGATACTATGAAAACACTTTACTGTAGTCTTGTGAGACCTTTATTAGGAATATTCATGCGAAACTTGGAACCCTTATACAAAACGTAACATTGATAAATTAGAGGCAGTCCAGCGAAGAGCCATCAGACGGATTACTAAGTCTGATGATGATTTTGATACTAGACTAACTAAGTTAAAATTGTTTTCAATATTCAATAGGATGTTCATTAGAGATGTTACATTTTTGTTCAATGTAATTAATGGACGTTATGATATAGACATTAAAACAAGCTCATATTTTGTAAGGACTGAAACACAGTTTATAATTTGAGGAAAATGACACACAGGACATTGCTCAAAAATTTTATAGCATTTTTTAACCGTATTGTTCAGAATGAGTGTGGGGCATCCCTAGCAGGGGCGGATCCAGGATTTTTTTTAGGAGGGGGTGCACTCGTCTCTTGCTCTACTTCAACACCAACAAACCACATAGTTTTTTTTTTTGCAGAATACCAGTTGTATTAGAAAACCGCAGGTCATCTCGGGGGGGGGGGGGGGGGGGGACGCCCCCCCCCACCCCCCCCCCTGGAAAAACCTTTCCCCTTTGCCCTGGATACCTTTTGAGCCTTTTTTTTGGTGTGGGGCACTTTTTTGCTTTTTGAGCACCCTTAAGACATTTTTCCACCTTTGGGAAACCTTT